GATTTCTTCGGTTTTAAAGTGTGAAGTAAACTCTGTAGCGTTATTAAGATCCTATTGTCTGCCCTTAACAGCTGCCCCTTCACACAGTAACATCGCCAAGGTCGGATGCTGGGTTCAGTATGTTTACATTCCAGGAGAAGAGACAGAGAAGAGAAGAAGAACGCTTTCCATTAATTAATCAAAGTACTTTATTCGTGATAAAGCTAATCAGAGCATATGTTGATCAATAATAATCAGGTGAATGATCTGTGAAATAAAGATGTCATGAGTTATGTGTTTAATGAATAAACAGGACTGCACCAGACAGACTGATCTACATTACCATGGAAACGCATGACACATTGTTTTCAACCAATCAGAACTTTCGTCTGTCATAGAGAGAATCTGGGTTGTTTAGTGAAGTTGTCCAATCCGGTTTACTAAGCTTTGTAAACAATTAGGGGATATAAAACAAGGCAACGCCATTTTAACTCTGTTCCATTTTAACCTCAGTACTGTTCAATTGGAGGTCCTAAGGATTTCCATCGTCATCATTAAGAAAGTTACAGGCTGGCCAGCTGTACTTTCCTATTTTAAGCTGAGAACTGTCAAGCTGGAAATTTCTGTTGTTTGAACAACAGGACGATGGTTCCTTCACAATAAGAGCTGAACACGCCGAGATCTGCTACTACTACCGGAGCTATCCGTAGACTGGTTTGTCGTGCTGCACCACTGTTTCATCAGCCCAGCACCAAGGGGGGTTCTAGGACCTGACACTCCTGATCTGACCGCGGGAGACTCCTTAGGTACGTAGTCACGGCACAAAATGGCGGCTCATGTCATCAGCTTCTGAAGCCTCGTGGTAGCCTAGTCATAACAACCAGATTCGCTACGTCAGCCTAGAGATTCTGAACAACACACACACACACCAACACGAAACATCCAAATCCATATGCATCCATCATTGAGATAGTCCTGGTAGATTGTAAGACTTTATAATTATAGAAATTAAAGATTCTTAAATGATCCCAACTCTCTTTTCTTGTCTCTCAGTCAATACAGAGTGTTTAAGTAAACTCTCTGATGATAAAAACAACCACTTCTGATTATAATACTTAGATCTAATTACAGTGTATAAATATACAAACTACAGATCATTACAACTCCGAAGTAAAATCCAAGCTGATCCCGTTAACGTTCATGTGTTTGTTTACCTTTTGTTACCTGCCAAAATGGCGTCTACTAACTGAGAGTCAGTGGGGTCCGGAGCTCTATACAGGGATAATAAGCCCCCCTACGGCAAGAGTGTCTTGGCTCATTGATAATGTTACAGTCAGGAGGATGGAGTTCAACCAGAGAAGCCGACTCATCAGGCGGGACCCACATTTCAGTCATTGCAGAACAAGCTCACTTCCTTGTCGATGTAGAAGTTCTTTAGAATAGATGTTTTATTCCTAACAGAGCGGACATTCTGTAGAGCAATCCAAATAGGTGGCAGGGACCGCAACGGAAGCTGCGGGGAGGATCGCCACATACCCGACCTCACAGGATAACAAAGATTATGGGGATTTACTCCTCCAGTGCGGCGCATCGTATGACTGCTTCCATATGTCAAGCAAACCGACCAGCATTGCCATTCCGTCAGAGGGATCTGATCCTGACCCTGACATAGGCACGTTTTCTGCGCCGTCCGGCCAGGAGTACCAAGAAGCTCCATCAGAAACTCCTCAAACAGGCTACCGAAAATCGGCCCAAAAGTCGCATCATGAAACCGTGGAAATCCCGGGTTTAAGCAAAGATCCATGAGTGTATGCCGGTCATATTGTAAAGTAGGATGACAATCAGCTGAAAAGCGATTCAAAAACAAAAGAGTCAGCATGATAGCCAGGAGAAGCAGACGGCGTGCCACAACAGTCAGCGCCATCTTTGAACTCCAGTACTGGGACCAGAGTTAATAGGGTTTGTATGGGGACCATGAGTGGGTGTCTAGCGTTCACTTTTGTAAGTCTTAGGTTGTATGTGTATGTGTGAGCATGAGGGAGTGAGTGTGTGACTGTTTGTTTATGACTGTATTTGTCAGGTGGGATCTTGGACTCCTCCCTTCTCTTGGGTCTTCCAGTGCTGCCTGCCCTCCCCATGCAACATTTGCTGCTGAGTGTAGGGTCTTGGTCTGCCTGCGTGCTCGCGGCTCCCTGGTTCACGGAACTTAAGATTTTAGGCATCTGTCTGATTGATCCCGTTGGCTGCCTGGTGGGATCTGCATCCCTGGCCTCTGTTGGGTCCCCGGTGGGGTTGGTCGCCCCTGGGTCCGGGGGCACTGGTTCCTGGGCTTAGCCAGCTTGGAGGTGGGTGGCTGCGGGCCGGCCTCTGGGCTTGCCACTGTTATCTCCCTGGACTCTGCTGGCTGCTGGTTGTGGCCCCCCGGGGTAATCCTCTGCACCTCTCGAGGAGGGGCTGGGGCTTTTCTGGTTACAGTCTCCCTGGGGTCCCTAAGCTCTGCTGCAGCTCCTGGATCTCAGGGACTTGGAGCTCCCTCCATCTCCTACACATCTTGCTCCTATAGAGAAACCTTGTATATACAAGCAGGTGTACGTACACTAGTGCATTGAAGCCGCTGCCCTGTGATTGGCTGATTGGATAACTGCATTAAGGAGAAGTTTGTTCCTAGTAATCTGTTAGGTGAGAGTAAGTGTGAATGTGAAGTTCCATCGACCGGTAATTAGTAGGGCTGTAGTGAAGCCTCGATGACGTCGACGGCTCGATTCTAAAAATTCGTCGACGTCAGATCCGGTAGTCGACGCACCGCGCCCACTTGTTGCATCCCCAGGAGTTTGTAAATAGAGGTGGAATCTGTCTGTTTTTCTTCTAGTTCGCCCTCTTCTCCGCCTTCACTAACATCTCCGCCAACTACCGAAGACCCGGAAAAACGTCCGTCCGCTACTAGGTTCCTTTCCTGTTTTGCCCCCCTTCGTTTCCCGGCAACGGACAACAACTTCCTGGGTCAAATGCGCTGCTCCGTCTCTATAGCAGATGCAGAAAATCACCGGGAGCGTTTCTCCCTTCATAAAGGAGCTTCTTTCAGACATTAGGAGAGCTGTTTTGGTGGTAGCAGTCTCTCCTCCATGCTGGTCTGTTTGCTGCTGGGTGTTTTTGGTTTATTTAAACTTGGTAACTTGAACTTAACGTTGGTAAAGCTACTGTTAGCATTTTCGCTAACAGCTTCTTGCGTTTGGATAAGCTGTTACGTTTTGGTTTAGAGTTGATCTTTTTTCAATCCAATCCAATCCGATTTTATTTATAAAGCGCATTCACAAGGCATTACAACCAAACAAGGCGCTGTACACTAGAAATGTTGGTTAATTAAACAAGCGATATTTAAACATGTTGAACACATATAAAAAATAATAATTTGTGGTGCAGATCTCCCTTTTATTACATTTAGAGTGTTGTGGGTTTTCGGTTTAGTTTAAAATATCACCTTGAGTTTGGTTTAACCGCCCAGTTTAGAGTTTGGAACTTTGGAGATTCTTATTTTGGTCCAAAACCCTGTAGTCTTTGCCCAGCGGGAACTCCCTAGTTATCTGTACTTTTGTTTTAATTCCCCACAGGCAGAATTAGTTTTATTACTCCCAACCTGTGGATGGAAAGATTTGTTTTTTTGTAGATGTAAATAAACCTGATCATCATTTTAACTTTTAAATCCCACATTATTGTCCCTTCCTTTTTGCACACGAGCCAAACTCCCCAGGAAGAGTCGTAACACCACTCGCCTCACGCACATTACTGACCAAAACAAAGCAGCATGGAGACACTCCGTCTCCAACCACCTCTCAGGCAGCAGCCTGCACTCCCAAGTTCTACACATCACCAGAACATAACCAACCACAACACAATAAAAGCAGTGTTATACAAAATGGGAGGCCTGTAGTGTTTATTCTCTTACAGTAACAATTAATCAATTTTTTGGAGGAATTTATTAGAGATTTTTTGGTTTTTATTAACTGTGCAATAGAAAAATAATCATTAGATTAATTGTATAAATAGTCATTAGAATAGTCGACTATTCGATAAAATAATCGTCAGAATAATCGTTTTAAAAATAATCGTTTACCCCCAGCCCTAGTAATTAGGGATTAGTACCAAATTCGGTACTTTTTAAGGTACCGACCGAATTCCATAGTACCGACCGAGTACCGATTCACGTCATTTCAAACGGTGCCTCGTTTTGGTACCCGTCCTTCATAACGAGAACTTGCCAAGACAGCTGCGCATGTGCGTTATGTCGTCGGTCCCTGTCCCAGCGACATTGATCTAAGTGAGACATCCTTTTCTTAATCTGCTCCGGTAGGTAAATAAAATGTTTAAGATAACGTTAGCTTGATATGTTAGCTTCCGTTTCGCTAATGGTGAGTTCGCTTTCTCCTCGTAACTCCGAATTTCCGACTAGAAGATCATGAACGCGCTCTAAAGTTTGGCTTCACTTTACTAAATGCGACGAGTGACAACGATCTAAGTGTGAGGCATCATCGTTTTAATCTGCTCCAGCAGTTAAATAAACTGTTAAAGATAACGTTAGCTTGATATGTTAGCTTCCATTGCCACCATTGTTATCAGCTAATGGTGCAATCGCTTTCTCCTCGGAAATTCTAACTTCCCAGAAGGAAAAATCAAATGAAAAAAAAAACGGCAAAAGGAATGAAGATACACAAAAAATTTAGTTCACAGTAAAGATGTTTGCTTCAGTTTAATTGTCAGCTTTTAAAACTACAAGGACGATGTTAAAATACAAACAGATTTATGTTATTTATCGTGATATTTATCAAATATTGTTATATATTGAGAAATATATATATTTAATTATAAAAGAATTAAAATAATAAACACTCAAAAGTATCGAAAATTGGTACCGTTAAGTACCGGTATCGATTCGTAGGTACCGGGAATTAGTACCGGATCGATTCAAATGTCAAAGGTATCCATCCCTATTGGCAATTCACATCATGTTTCTGTGTTTCCTAAAGATGTTCAACAGCTGGTGCTGGTTAAAGAAGAAGCTCCTGAGGAACAGAGTGCAGGTGTGGACCAGAAAGACCCAGAACACATCCACATGAAGGAGGAACAAGAAGAAAACTGGACCAGTCTGGAGGGAGAGCAGCTCCATTTGGAGGAGAAAACTGATGCTGCCAGGTTTCCATTCACATTTGCTTCTATAAAGAGTGAGGATGATGAAGAGAAACCTCTGTTCTCACAGCTTCATCAGCAGCAAGTAGAAGACAAAGAAGTTCCAACCAACAGCTCAGCTCACCAGATGACAGCAGAAACTGGTGGAAGAGCAGAAACTAGCAGGAACCAAGATTTGAACCCTCATGAACAGACATCTGATTCTTCAGAAACTGAAATGAGTGGAGATGATGAAGATGGTGATGATGTGAATCTAGAATCTGAGCTGTCAGACTCTGGGTCTGAAACTGGAGAAGAAGACAGTGACTGGAATGAAAGCAGGTCTTCTGATTCACATGTTAGGACTGTCAACAAGTCCTTTAGCTGCCCTGAGTGTGGTGAACAATTTGTCCACAAGAGGTCTCTCCAGAAACATGTGAGAGTGTCAGGGCATTCAGCAATAAGGTCTTCAAGTTGTTTGGTCAAAAAGAAATGTGTTGGAGTGAAGCAACATGTAGACTCATGCAAGAAAGTCCAGAAAAAGCTAAAATCATTTAGTTGTGATGACTGTGGAAAAATATTTAGTGCAATGTGTGATTTAAACGTGCACATGAGAGTCCACACAGGAGAAAAACCTTTTTCCTGTAAGCTCTGTGAAAAAAGACTTAGCAGTAAGAAAGCTTTAAACAGTCACATGAGAGTCCACACAGGAGAACAACCTTTTGCCTGTAAGCTCTGTGGTCGAAGATTTAGCCAAAAGGCATCTTTAAACAAGCACATGAATGTCCACACTGGAAATAAACCTTTTGCTTGTGAGCTCTGTGGTCGAAGATTTGGCGCAAGAAATAATTTTAACAGGCACATGAGAGTCCACACAGGAGAACAACCTTTTGTCTGTGAGCTCTGTGGTCGAAGATTTGGAGAGAAAGCAAAATTAGGCATTCACATGAGAATCCACACAGGAGAAAAACCTTTTGTCTGTGTGCTCTGTGGTAAAAGATTAGCCTATAAACTAGCATTAGACAATCACATGAGAATCCACACAGGAGTAAAACCTTTTGTCTGTGTGCTCTGTGGTAAAAGATTCGCCCAAAAACAAGCCTTGGAGAGTCACGTCAGAGTCCACACAGGATTAAAACCTTTTGTCTGTGGGCTTTGTGGTAAAAGATTTAGCCAAAAGTCAACTTTAAACAATCACATGAGAGTCCACACAGGAGAAAAACCTTCTTGCCTGTGAGACATGTGGTCAAAGATTTAGCGACAAGACCGAGTTAAACAGTCACATTAGAGTTCACACAAGACATAATGAATTATTTTGAATGTGATTGATAGAAAAAATTCCATCTTTGAGAGCAGGGGAGTGGAGGAGGAGTGTATAAATACACGCATGTGTGTGTGTGTGTGTGTGTGTGTGTGTGTGTGTGTGTGTGTGTGTGTGTGTGTGTGTGTGTGTGTGTGTGTGTGTGTGTGCGCATGGAAACCTTGTGGCTTCATATGATATAAGCAGTTCTGAAAGATAAGAAGGCCCAAGGCCATTAGGACACTTAAAAAACGTTTAAAGTATTTTAAAATCGATCCTGAAAAAAACGAGGAGCCAATGTAGTGATTCTGAAACTGGAGTGATGTGCTTCCGCCTCCTGGTCTTCACCAGAACACGTGCTGCTGAGTTTTGTAATAGTTGTAGACCTGAAATCTTCTTTTTAGGAAGACCAGAAAGCAGGGCATTGCAGTAGTCTATCTTACTGGTGATAAAAGTATCCATCAGCGTCTCCGCATTGGCCGGAGAGAGAATGAGGCGGACTCTGGCGATGTTCTTCAGATGATAAAAACCCATTTTGGTGATATTTTTAACATGATGGATAAACGTCAGCTCAGAGTGAAAGATGACACTCAGGTTCTTCACCTGTGAAGATGGATTAAGAGACAGTGATTGTAATTTTGGTAAAAGTTTCTTTCTCTGGGCCTCAGGAGGGTGCATATAAAGGTTAAAAAGCACTGGGCCTAAAATTGAATCCTGGGGCACACCACATGCAATCCCATGGACCGTAGAGGAACAGGTATCCAAACCCACCATAAAAGTCCTGTCGGTGAGGTAGGAAGTGAACCATCGGTGAACAGCACCAGAGAGGCCGATCCCTTTCAAACGAGTTAAAAGAACAGTGTGGTCTACTGTGTCAAAGGCAGCACTTAGATCCAGTAGAACCAACACAGTCACCTTCCGTTTATCATAATTTACTCTAAAACCATTTAAAATCCTCAGAAGGGCCGTCTTGGTGCTGTGGTTCACCCTAAAACCAGACTGAAATTTTTCAAAGACATTATGGGTGTTGATAAAATCATTCAGTTGAATTAAAACAAGCTTTTCTAAAATGTTGCTTAATGGTAAGTTGGATACCGGTAGATAATTGTTTAAATCATTAAAATCTAAATTGTTGTTCTTCAGCAGAGGCCTCACCACCGCCCGTTTAAAAGTGGTAGGAAAGACCCCCGTCTGAAGTGAGTAATTCATCATAGTTAAAACCTCATCTGTAAAAGAATCATAAAATTGTTTTAAAAACCTTGTGGGAATAGGTTCCAGGACACGTGTGGTGGGTCTCACTGGGGAGAAAACCTTATCAACACTCAGCTTCAACCAGAACAACACTCTCCAGTGTTTCCTCTGGTAGACACACACTCAGATGTGTCTAAAACCACGTTACGTAGAGAGGATAAAATATTACATCTGATGGAGTCTACCTTCTCTCTGAAGTGGCCTGCAAACTCCTCAGAGAGTGTTTGAGGGGTTTTTCTGAGTTGGAGTTGAGAATATTATTGATTGTGGAGAAAAGACTTTTAGGGTTATTTTTATGGACCGAGAGGATTTTGGAAAAGTATGCGTTTCTTGAATTTCTTACAGCATTGTTGTATGTTTTTAGTAGTGGTGAATATATCTGATGATTTATTGTTATCTTGTTTTTTCTGCATCTCCTCTCCGCCACTCTGCAGTTTGTCTTTAGTTTTTTTAGGTTTTCATTTCTCCAAGGTGATGTATGATTTGACTGTAAGTTTTTGGTTTTGAGTGGAGCAAGCTAGTTAAGAGCTGACTCAAGTCTTCTGTTAAAATTGTAACGTGAGGAAATATGGGTTTTCTGTCACAAAGGTGGTGTTGGCCTCAGCTGGGTCAAAGCTGGGTCGTTGAGAACTTTCACCCACAGATTAAGACCTGAACGCCAGCGAGTCTGGGAGGAAACCATAACATCTGCCACCTGCAGCTTCGTGCCAGAAGATGTTGTTCCCACAGAAGATGTTGTTCCCATAAATGTAGTCATAACAAGTCTTAAAACTTTCTTTTCTTGTTTTGAATGTTAAAAGTTTAATCATCAATTTGCTCATTATAAATGTGTTTTAATCAAATGAATGATTCTTATGCTTTGGGGTAATTATAATGGATGAATGAATCCATACTTAAATAATGTTTGAGGATGTTTGTTATCGACCTTCACACACTCAAGCACACACACACTCAAGCACACACACTCAAACACACCCACACACAGATTCTCACAGTAAACTCCAAAACACATTTGCTGACGCACACGTTTGCTTTGAGAAGAGAAAGGTTTTTGGTAAGTTTCAGTCTTATGTTTCAGTTCATGCTGGACAACGAAAGAGAGAGGACCTGAAAACCAAGGGGGGGGCAGAGCCGGTTGGCTCGTTTCTCCCCCCTCTCATGCTGTTCCTGTCAGCCAGACAGAATAGCTGAATCGCAACTTCTAACGCAGACTCAGTCTTTTGATTTCTGAGTGAACTAAACTTAACAAGCGCATCGACAAAACGCTTTTCCATCGACGTGTACCGAGGGCAACTCTGGACCGGTTCCGTTCGACACCTACGTCTTCCCTGTCAGCCGCTGGTGTCATCTGGATGAACCATCACCATCCTCCACGGCCCGGATCCGAAAGAGGGTCCACAAGAGTTCGGTGAGACAGAACACGGTGTTTAGCGTTTAATGCAGTTCTCTGATAAGACCTAAGTTTATCCAAACCATCACCTCACTCAGACACCTGTTTCTTCCTGAAGCAAAATCAGATGCACACACGCATCCATCTCACCTCATGTTCAATTCTCACTACACTTTGCACCCACGCATCCATAATCACATCATATCACTCTCAACCTTCATTCACCGACAGAAGGTCTATTTGAGCAAGAACAGCATATCAACTGTTAAAGATTGTCCCACAAAGTTGCCAATGTTGATTGTTATTTCCTGTTTGTCAATTTCAAAATCATTAGTTTAATTTGAAGAATTAAAACTTTTAATTGTCAAACTGGTTTCCTCATTGAACTGAAACACAGACACACAGATATTATCGTCAGTTTATCGATGAAAACAACCTTTGAGTCTTCTTAACAATATAAAATTTGGTTATTGATTTATTAAAAAATTAATATTCTGAATTAATACGTAGCATGGTTCCTCTTTCATAAAAGAGCATAAAACCACAACGCTACAATATGGCTGAGCAAGCCAGTTTCTCCTACAAAATCATTGATAATAAAATCACAAAGGGCGGAGACGTTAGTTGGAGAGATATTGTTAAAAGCTTTAAGAAAACCAGCAGCCACTTCAGGGGTTAGATGACGCTTCCTTACAGTTCTCACAGAGGGCGCACACGGGATAACGCTGGTGATGTTAAAAAATACGCAATAGTGATCAGACACTGCCAAGTCGACAACAGAGGACACATCAGTGGACAGGCCATACGTGATGACCATGTCCATTTTTAGATTTTCCTCCGAGGATCGTGGGTTTATTTTGTTTTGTTTTGGAGCTGCGTTCGGAGTAAACACCGCCAGTATTTAACCCCGTTAAAACTAATGTTAGTAACTGTTATGGACCCCTTTTTAGGCTCGCTAGGAATGTGAGATCAGTAACATAAGTAAGACGAGTCAACAGTTTAGTTATAGTAAAAAATAAAAAAACGTATCTTGAAAGTCGCGGTGGATTTAACCCAGTTTGTGCCACTGGACTTAAAAACAAACAGAACAAAACAGTGAGTGAATATTCCATGAGACTGGAACAACCTAGCTTAACCCTTTTAGGACGGGAATCAAACAAGAGTGAATAGTAACAACCAAAAGGGCTTAAGTGTCCCTGAAGGAGACTAAACTCAAAGCCCAAGTCACCAGTGGTGGCTGGTCCATAGGGGGCGTTAGGGTGCCGCCCCACCAGTCTCATGAGAAGAAGAAAATAGGAATCAAAAAATTAAAAACAACAATAAAATTAAACTAAGCTATTTCTACATCATAAAGACTACAAGTGCTGTGTGTCGTCTGCATTTAAGTGTAGTTTAAAAATGTTATTTACACTTTTAACACTACCGAATCATCTTGTGACGTTTTTCCTGTTACTTTTGGTGCGCAGCAATTGTTGTGTTCGAGATGTGGCAGTTCTGCACAGATTAGATCACCGGTGATCGGTGTGCAGTGCATACCGGTTAGATTTGTGTCTGACTTGACGCCAACTTGTTCCTTCATTGTATACGGTTCCTTCAGAATAAAGCTGAACCAGCTCCGACTCCCTAAGAGTCCTTCCAAAGACGCAGTCTTGTCGTGTCTATGTACCGTTGTCGGAGTCTCTTTTGGATCCGAGATGTCAAGGAGTCCGTGGACCCCACGGTACCGAAGTTTGTAGAGGAACCGCAGAACGACCAGGTCAGTCCAGAGTCGTCTCCAGGTCGCGACAACCAGGTGGACTTGTTTTGCGTCTATGGAAAACTCAGTGGCCAGCTCAGCTGGCTCAGTGACCTAGTGGTAGAGTGCCCGCCCTGAGACTAGGAGTTCTGGGTTCGATTCCTAGTCGGGTCATACAAAAGACTTTGAAAAAAATGGGACCCAATGCCTCCCTGCTTGACACTCAGCATTAAGGGGTTGGACTGGGGGGTTAAACCACCAAATGGTTCCCGAGCGCGGCTGTGTCTGCAGCTCACCGCTCCCCCAGGGAATGGGTCAAATGCGGAGAACAAATTTTGCACACAAATCAGTGTGTGTGACAACTAATGGGACTTTAACTTTAACTTATGGAAGGACTTCAGCTGTTTTTACAGGACCATAGCATTTGCAAAAAGGGATTTGTCAAGGCTCCCTGGGGAGGATTTTGGCATTCATGGTAGCAAAGCTGAAGCTAGAATAAACTGCCATCAGGCACCTCTCAAACCAAGATGGGATAAGGGGAGGTCGCTGGGCGCCCCCCCCCCCCCTGCATGTGACGTACAGGTTTGCACATTCAGCGTCAGACGGAAGACACGTCAGACTGATGAAATTTCTTTTTTAGGCCCTTTAGCTTAGATGTGACTTGCTTTTTGTCCCACTTGATGCCCCGCTCAGCCAGTGTTTTCACCACTCTGTCAAACAGCTGGCTTTCTCTCACTGTCCCCA